GGGGGGGTGGGGAGGGAAGTGCACGGGATTGTGGTGATGGCACATGGGTGACTTGGTGATGGGAAACCCGAGGGGATTACAATTGAGATGGAAAAAAAAAATGTACAAAATGATGTAAAAATAAACTGTTATAAAAAAAAAGAAAGAAAAGGTAAGCTGTTCTCAATTTTGTCCTAACTACACGTAAGACAGATGTTACTATAAATGCTACATGTGGACAGCAACCTTATCAGAATTTGGAATTATCTAGAGAATTTTTATGCCTCCATTATCAGCCTAGCATAATAAATTAATTGTGGACAATATGACCACTTATAAATAACTCAAACAACTCCTATTAATATTTAATGAACTTCTATTCTCACTCTGTAAATTTTTTAACACTTCCAATGAAGATATGCTACAACAGAAAGGACTCTAAAAAAAGCCAGCTACCAACTCTAAAATCTGCTAACACAGCAGTCAATATCATGCTAAAACACTCATAGCACAAACTGGTATAAGTTTCATATGGACTATACAAACAGTGTCTTCTCTCAGCTTTTACCCACAATACAGTTAAAACTGGAACAACATATGCATACCTTAGAAACAAAATCTTTGCTTAAAAGTTCATGCTTCCAAGTTTGGTATCATTTTTAACATTCAAAAAATTAGAATTAAACATGATTAGCAATTACATGTTGACATTTATTACATTTTCTTGATACAGAAAGAATATGAAATACCAAGCACTACAAGACATATATCTCAGTAACATCTTTAAAGTCTCATCCCCAAAGCAAAGAAAATAAAGGAAAGGATAAACCCCTGGGTCTATATCAAACTGAAAAAAGACATTAAACAAAGTGATACCCTACTGATTGGGGAAAAAAATCTTTGTACTCCATACAACTAATAAGGGACTAATCACAAAGATATAAGAAGAACTCACATGACTCAACAAAAACAATGTAAACAATCCAGTCAAGAAATGTGCACAAGAACTTAAAAGATACTTCTCCAAAGAGGGAATGCAAACAGCACAGGCATATGAAAAAATGTTCAATATCCCTCATAATCAGGGAAATGTAAATCAAAACCACAATGAGATACCACCTTATACCAGAAAGAATAGCCCACATCAAAAAAACTAGCAAAGGGCCCTCACTGGTGGCTCAACCGGTTAAAGCACAGTACTGGGAAGCAACCGCAGCCACTACAGCATGAGTTCCATTCCTGGCCAGGGAGGTGACCCACATGGCATGGCAGACCTCTCCTGACCAGCCCACTGCTCCCCTCAGCAGTATATTTCAGTCCATCTGCCTGTTCTGCTCCCCACTCTGTCTCTGGTGAATCCTCTCACCCCCTGCACCTCTGGCCTGTACCCTGTGCATAAGTAAACAAATCTTTTAGAAAAAAAAACCTAGCAACAATAAATGTTGAGTAATTGAAAAATGTGGTGAAAAAGGAACTCTCCTACACTGCTGGTGGAAATGCAAACTGGTACAACCACTATGGAAAGCTGTATGGAGGTTCCTCAGACTACTAAAAATGGAGTTTCTATATGACCCAGCCATTCCATTCCTAGGCATCTACCCACAGGACACAAAAACATTAATTCAAAAGGATACCTGCAATCCTATGTTTTACTGCAGCACTATTTACAATAGATAAAATCTGGAAACAACCCAAATGCCCAAAACTAGATGATTGGGTCAAGAAGACGTGGTATATTTATACAATGGAATACTACTCAGTGATCAAAAAAGATAAACTCATGCAATTCACAGCAACGTGGATGGAGCAAGAAGGAACTATATACAGTGAAATAAGTCAGAAGGAAAATGAAAAATATCAGATGGTCTCACAGGAGGATATAGCGGAACCAAATAAGACATTAGGGGAAACAATAAATATTATACAAAAACAACAAAACAAACAGACAATTATAAATCAGAGACATCCTACAGGGGAGAGGGAGAGAGAGGGACTGGAAAGAGGGAAAGAGGAGCACAGGAGACTGTGGTGATGGTGGATGGGTGAATTCCCTCCTCCGTATTTAATGACATGTGGTTACTGCTAGGTAATGACAGCAATTACAGAATTGCACGTTTGTGGTAGTGACAGAATCAGTCCCGGTTAAGGTAAGGAAGAAGCTTTTCTTTTTGAGTGACATCACAGATCAATATGTGATAATACAACAGGATCTTTTAAATTCATTTTAGCTATGTTAGTGCTGGGAAGGTGACACTTATCCTGAAATCCATTTTTCTGTAACTGCTCTAATATAAAGACCCTGTCAACATTTCAATACGTAGTTAAAACACAACATAAGACAGTTATACTTTCCACAAACTCATGATAGGATTTACTTCAAGTGTGATGCAGGATGTTCACTGACAACCTCCCATATAAGTCCTTTCTGAGTTATAATTAAGCTATCCTAACTATTAAGAGCAGCCACAATATCAAAATAATAACCATGACTTAAAAGTACAATACACTATAAAATACTTCTGATTAAACCCTAGGAAAATTATTTGTTAGGGTCTTTCTTAATTAAAGTACTTCAATAAAACAGACTGAATTGGAAATGAATTACTTTTCTCTGCTTTTCTTCTTGTAATACTCGTTGCAAATAAACAATACCTTGGAATGTAGTGCCTATAAGTCTAAACTCTGCAGTCATGGCTAACTAAGAAGGGAACAGAAAGCACATACTAAAAATAATTTCCTTAGAAATATAAAGCTTCTTTGAAATAATAGGACAACAAATTAATTACTCCCTATTGTGATACACCAAGAAATGTAACAATGAGCAAAGTTAAATGGTAAGGCAATATTGAATTCTGGTCAATCCTTAACTGCTACTAATCAATATATAAGTAAAAGTTGGCTTCTTTTACTTTATTAGAAAAACTTTTAGAAAACAAAAGAAGACTGATCATTTGGGAAATAGGAATGGGGGAACTGACATACATAAATGCTTTCTCTGTCCACTGCTTTTGCTGTTAGTAATAAAATCCTCTGTTTCTAGCTCAGAAGTCTTTTGTCCTCTGCCAGCATCCATAGAACTGAAGTAGGCAACTCATTTGCTTGCAAACAGTATAAAAATCTCAGACCTTAGAAAGTCTTTAACAAAGTCTCCAATAAATGGGGGAGGGGGTGAAATGCTACTGCAAGAAATGGGTAGAGGATGTTAAAATTTGTTACCATGAGATAAAGTCTGAGTTCACTTTAGAAGACAGAATGATCTGGAAAAGCAAAGAGAGCAAAAAGAACATCTCCAAAATATACAAGTTTTCTAAAACATAAGTGCCAAAATGATAACTGAAGACAGTAAAAGGCAAGTGTCAACTTACTTGAATTAGATCTAAAATGCCAAGTTCACTTTCTGAAGAATCCACACAGAAGACAAAATATAATGTTGCGTAATGTCTATATATCAGCTTGTTGTCAGATCCTCCAATTAATCTAAAGACCAAACAAAACAATTGGAAGGTTATAAAAAGCAACATGAAAAATATTTCATTAGCTCAGCAAACTGACAATGTGCTCAAAAACCTTTTACAAAATGTAAGGTAAATAGCTAATGGAATAACATTTAAGTGAATTTATATGAGAGACAAAATAAATTAGAATGACTATTTTCCTCAGAGGGGTCAAGTAAAATAAGCCAGTATTTAGTTTATTCATTCATTCATTAACTACCTACTGAGTAACTACAATGCGCCTGGGGCTGAAAGTGGGTTAGGAGGAATAAATAAAGTTATCAGAAGGGAAGGTGCTACAGAAAGAATTAAAATAGGATAGTGCCAGGTTGATGGATTTGCTACTTCAGAAAAAGTGAAAACTTAAGCTGAGATCTAATGATAAAGAGTAGGCCATGAAAAAATTTACAGGAGAGCCATTTCAAGCACAGGTAACAACTTTAAAAGGCCATTTTATCTAGAACAAAATAATTATGCTCAAAGAAGAGAAAGAAGGCTTGTGGATAAGAAAAGATTAGTAAACAAGAGCTCAAGGATACAGGCAGATCACAGAGCATTTGTTTGTGCTTACTAGATTTAGCTTCATACGCCACTGTAAGTTACACAGCTTAAGACTGATTATCAACTAGAAAAAAAAAGAAGAACGACATTTCTTAAGTTCTGGGCAGATTTACCATCAAGATCTCCTCAAATTATACTTTGTTTTGGAATATAAATGCAAGAAAACTGAGATAAGAGACATCCAACTCTCTGATCCAATAATTTCCTGTGTATTTGTATTTATTGGAATTGTATCATTTAAAAAAACAACAACCTAGGAGTCATTCTAAACACAGATTATAGTTTTCTAAATATAGATTAGCTAGTTCATAGTTAATATTAGTTCATTTGCTCAAAAAGATCTTTTAACACTAAAGTGCTAAAAATACCCAATCTAAATGTAATCGCAGATTTACATTTTAATTTAAAATTAATTTTAATTTAAACAACACATGGGAAAATGGCATCTATTTCTCACTCTGTAAAAGTAACATTAAGCTTACAAGTTCTGTAAACAATTTTGCTTAGTACATATTACCTTTATAGTCCTTTTTATGACATTTAACAACAATTAAAGATTCAGAGATTGTATTTTTGGACTATGATTGCAATTGCCTCTTAAAAGAGACAAAAAGAGCACAAATAGCAGGCTTCACTTCATCCCAAATCAGCAATTCAGTGATTATCAGAAATTTCTGCTTTGCTCTGCTTTAAATGAAGACCAAACTTTTGAAAATAATCTTTCAAAATGACCACTAATGTTATTAAAAGAGTAAAGTTTATTGATGAGAAATACATTATTTTTGCCCTTAAAAATAAAATTTCATCTTGAAGCTGTATTATGGACAAATACTGATACAAAATAAAATCACGGAATTCTTGAAATTCTCGAAGCCTAATTATCTGACTTTACAAAGGGGAAAACTGACATACAAGAAGGTCAGTGACACAGCCAAGAAAGCAAGCTTGTTAGTGACAGAAGTAGAAGCAAACTTGATGTGCAACCTTATTTCTGATTCAGTATTTTATTTCTACTTTTCACAAAGCTGGAAAACTACAATTCAAGGAATAATTTCAAGTTCAAACAGTGCCCTGGTAGATCAATCTGGTCCTTTCACGTCTACCATATATAGTACATGTGCTGGGTGACAAGTTTCCTAAGAGATAAGAGATTAAGAGGCTGGCATGAAGGGAAGTGAAAGTAAGCGCAAAGGTAACTAAAATCCTACAGACATTAAAGAGAAATAAATACAATTAAAAATACAAAAACAGAAAGCAGGTGCATCTTTCTCAACAAATAAATTGCTAGTAACAAAAGCTACACACAAAGCGAATTTGAAAATTTATGTACAGCACGACATACTCTTTTGAGAAACACAAGTAATCTTTTAACATGATGAACACTATTTATGATCAGGGAGTAACAAATATTCTATATCACCTGAGTTATTTTTTCTTAATAGTATCACACTTACTGAAATACATGTAGCGAAGTGTTGCTTTGTTCAACTACAATGTGATCATTCATATGGGGCTCGGCTAAGTTTTAGTTTGAATTGTTAATGAGAATGCACCTGTCTTTGCAGGATGGTGAGTGAAAAGCTGAGAAGCTGACTACTACAAAGAAGAAACAGGAAACCAAGAAGCTAATGCTGGTGTGGGGACGCAAAGTGAAGAAGCAGAGCTTCTTAAAATGGTAAGAATGGCAGTACCACAGGGGCTATACATTTTGCAAGATTTCTAGATATATCCTACTGAAGATGAGCCTTGAGAGCTGCTGAGGAATGACAAAAACAAACAAACAAACAAACAAAAAACCCTTCCAGAGCATACAGGAAAACTGCCAGCTAGCCTCACCTTGGGGGTCATCCTGATCATCCTCAATGGGCACTGCCAGGGGAAGAGGGTGACTTTCCTGAAGTGTTGAGCAGTGCTTAGTACTTGTGACTGAACCTCCATCCCTAACCAAGACCCTCTATGCAGAAGACACCAGATGTGTCACTTTACCTCCAATAAAAACATCATTGGGGTGAAAATCCCAAACCATTCCACTAATGCTGCCATCAAGAAGAAGATATGTTAAGGAAAGTGAGATCTTCGACACAAAGAAGGAAAAACACAAGATTACAGAGCGGCACATGGCTAATCAGAAAGATGAGGGCTGTAAGTTTTACCAAAAATTAAAGATATTCCTCCACATCCAGGGCTAACGCCACTGTGTTTACTCCTTACAAATGGTATTTATCCTCACAAATTAGTGTTCTAAATGTCTTAAAAAGAATCTAATTAAATAACTGATCCAATACAAATGCTTATTAGAATTTAATCATATAAGCATAGGAGGGGTCAATTAGGAAACTATCTGAGAGCAAACTGTTCTCAAGTGACACATGTATTTTAAAATATTTATACAAAAACAAAAGTAAACATATTGTAAGACCAAAATTAGCTGTGGAAGGGGGAGTGGTAAGGCAAGTAAAAGGGATAAACTTATGGTGAAGGGTGGAATTAGATTTTTAGTAGTGAACTTTTAGTATATAGAAATGCTGATTTATAAAGATGTACACCTGAAACCTATTCATCTTTATAAACCAGTGAGTCTTCAACTGAAAAAATAAAACTTGTATCTATTAAGTATATAACAAAATAAGTACTAGCTGACAATTATAATTTTTATTTAGTTATGTAAAAATAGAAAAGTTTATTGGCTAACTTCTAATCTCTATGCTGCTAACCTATATCTATATACATATCTGTACTTATACACACAAACAGATAAAAATTTAAAGAGCAGACTTTGGTCATGTTTACAGCAATAAAGGATGAGATCTAAATTTTTATGAAGAATTTCACTCACTAAGGAATACTCTATAGTTACTGGAAAGAATGGGCTGCTCTATATGTGTTTATATGTAAAACTTTTCAAAATATTAAGTGAAAACAAGCAATACACATACAAACCAGTAAACAGAACAATACCAAAGGTAAAAATTAATATATATTAATCAGTATAAAATTAAATATTGAGGACTCAGAAAAAACTGGGAAGGATGAAAGTTGGTAAGGGGAGCTTCTTAGTGTACATTTTATGCTTTACTGTATGTTTGAATTTTTTCCAAACAAATGTATTGTCATTATATAACATGTCTTTATAAAATCCTTAAAAAGAAAAAACCTTACATACATTTAAAAAAAAGTCCTTTAAGCTACTTATAACGTAAATGGAAATTTATATACCTGATCCAATTAATCAAAATTAGGAACCTTTAAGCACAAGCCCACTAAACACACACATACATATATATATATAACACATATGCATTATAATATAATACATATATATATTAACCATGAAGTCAAAGATGTCTATAATATACTTACAATCCTCCTTCTAGGAAATTACAAACATTTTCATCTCTCTTAGATACCAAATGGAATGTCTCCCTGATGATTTGCTGTTGTGTATCTTCACTCTGAGAAGGAATAATTCATATACATTAGGGTCAAATGTATGGGCTTAACATGTTAAGAATTTAAAAATCAGAACACAGCAGTATCTGTCTGGGAAATTTATCTAATAGAGAGGTCCTTAGGAAGTGAACATAGTGCATGTAATGTAAACAAAACCCAACATTCTTGATGGGAAAAAAAAGAAACATAAGCCTTTAAAGTTTACCACTACAATAAAAGAAACTTATTTCTGAGTCTCAAAACCAGTAAGAAAAATATTAGAGTTATAAACATTACTAAAAGAGACACTAGGTATTAGTGAAAGTCTACTGTTTTACAAATAAGTGGAAAGAAAAGAAAAAATATTAATAATTCACATAGCTAATCTATATTTCATTGGGAGAAGGGGATGGATCTTGAATATTCCATTATGTAAGTTTAACTAAATGAAAACTGAGCTAAGAGTCCATCCATCTACCTCATCTCTACATAAGCACGTCCTAATAACAAGAATTGGCTCAATAAATATTAAACTCACAAACTAAAATAAGAAAATTCCATGTGCCCCATATAAGCAAAAGTGTAAAAATATGACAATATCAAATATTGACAAAGATAAAATTCTTATTCTATCAGTGGAAAAACAAATGGTAAAAGCCATTGAGAAAATGATCTTATAACTCAGCACTACCATCCCTAGGTACTATACTGAACCTTAACAGCCCACTATTTTTAGAGATATGAAGCAACTGAATATTAGTATCTGCATATATATAATAAACTCTTAACCAGTGCCACAAAGAGACATGTAGAAGAAGGTTCATATGGGCACTCATACAGTAACAACAAAAAGCTGAGAATAACACAAATTCTATCAGTCAGAGAATGGGTAAGTTATAGTATGTTCACACAATGGCTTCAAGACAGCACCTTCTTCACACAGAAGAAAGCAAAGCAAAACATGCTCTCTGGTGTCCCTCCTTGACGGTGGATGAGGATTCCACCATCAAAATCACATCTAAATCTAATTCTCTCCCAAAGTTGTAACCTAAAACCACCACATTAGGAATTAGGGATTCAACAAGTGCATTTGATAACAAAAGTAAATACCAGAACGATATGCAATCATCTCACTAATATAAAATTCAGAAACACATCAAGCTAAATAATATGTTTAATACATATTGATTAAAATAAAGTTATAGAGAAAAAACAGGAATGATAAACAAATTTCAAAGGATTCATTTCACATTATAATTAGATAATAAGACAGATGTTATATCCAAAACATCCTAAAAAAGACATTTTTTAAAAAGTTAAAAAATTCAGTAAAGTTAAAGATACAAAACCAATCAGCAAAAATCAGTTGTATTTCTAAAAACTGAACATTACAAAAACAAAACAAATTTTTACAATATCATAAACAACACCCAAGAGTAAATTTAATCAAACCTGTGCAAGGCATATAGACTGAAAACAACACTGCTGAAAACAACAATAAATAAAAAAACATAATAGGATATGTTGATGTACAGGAAGAATCACTCAGATGATGATCCAAAGCAATTTAGAGAATCAGTGAAATCCTTATCAAAAGCCCAACAGCTTTTTTGCACACATACAAAACCCCATTTTCAAATTCATAAGGAATGTGAAGGGACTCCGAACAGTACAATCTTGAGAAAGAACAAAGTTGAAAGATTTATTTTCTGATTTCAAATTTTACTGCTATTACTAAGCCTAAAATAATCGAAAAGTTTGGTATGGGTGTAACAGACATAAAGACGAATGAAATGGAATTGAGAGCCCAAAAAAAAAACCCACAGATCTATGATTAATTGACTTTGGCATGTCAATTCAAGGAGGGAATGATTACATTTCAATGAGAGAAAGAATAGTTTCTTCTTCAAAAAATGGTATTAAACAACTAGCTAAAGATAAAACTATAAAATTCTTAGAGGGAAACATGGGAGGGGCAAATAACTTGGCAAACATTTCTTAATGACACCAAAGCACAGAGAACAATGTAAAAAACAGATTAAATTAGACTTCATTTAAAATTAAAATTATCTCTTTTGTATAATATTACTGCTTATGAACAAGTAAGATAAATATCCTAACCTTTATTTATTTTCACTACTGAAAAGAATTTGTCAAATGCACTTCAAGGGAGTCACTTGTGATTTGTCTTTTTTAAGATGCCAGTAAAACTCAAATCAAAATCAATATTGGAAAGAATGCCTTAAATTTTTAATTAAACAGCAAAGTCCAAACTAAGATTAAACAAATGAAGTCTCTGCTGACATAAGACAATTCCCTTTCTTTAATAGTCAATTTAATTTAAGAGCGTTCTTAAAGAAGCCTGAGCTTACTTTAAGCTGATCAAATTTCCTAACACTATCGCTTCCTAACAGAAGTCAAAGTAATATATTTCAGTTGGTCACCACTCCTAGATTACATCAGCCTACAAACAGCATAACATATAGGCAAAATATGTATCATTTTAAATGCTTATTAGTGCATTAATGAAAAAATAGGTTGTAAAAATCCAGTAACTCAGTAGTGCAATTTAACCCTAAGTTTACTGTGCTTATTATAAATATCATGAAGTACAACTTTAAAACCAAAACTTTGCTCTTATCAAACAGTAAATATGTTATTATCCTTACCTCCTTCCTTCCCACATAAAGGAGAATATTTTAAAAGGAGAATATGTTTTTTCAAAATGCATTCATCACTCCACTAGTGTTAGAATATCAAGAATGAACAAGATGAATATCAAGAATGAACAAGATGAACGAGAAATGGATTCTTTTCTCAAAGGGCTTAATCCAAGAAATAAAATATAATTGTTGCATATTTTTATTAAGAGTTTTATACGAAAAAAAAGTTTTACACGTTGCTATTTTTACAGCCCATAAAAGAAATATATGTCTTTACAATAAAAGTCAGAGGACAACAGCTCACAAAATAGGACAAACAGACATTACAGGACATCAAGGGGAATAATGATCTTTAGCAGCAAGATCATCTGCAAAGAAAAGTGACAGATATTTAGGAAGGGCCACCATGAATAAGTAGAATTCAGAAATAAATACAGGCAGTGGGCAATCACACGAAATTTTGAGGCAGAAATAAAAAATGGGGCAAAAGGCACTTCACTGATCAGCTTCTGGGGTCCCTTGCCATACATGGGTCTTCATCTCTTGATGCATACTCTTCCCAGGGTGATCACGCTTTCTGCTCTTGATTGATTTGAAAGGCACCTTCTAAGGTTTGGCTCTTATGACTGACTATTTCTGAGGGCAGTTCTGACCTTGTACAGGAATGCAGAACTGTGGGTAACACTAATAGTGGCCGAATGGGCCACTAAAGTCTAGCAGACCCACAAAAGCATAGCAAAAATAAACTGGCCATCAAAAATAAAATTTTATGGAAATTAACACCAAAGTCAGACACTGCTTGATATCCACCAAAAAGGCTAGAAGCAAAGACAGACAATTGTAAGAATGGAAAAAATTGGAAGCCTCATACCATATCGATAGTAATGTAAACTGGTACAACCACTTTGAAAATATGGCAGTTCTTTGAACAATTAAACATATAGCTATCATATGGCCTTCTCCTAGATAATATGCTCAAGAGAAGTGAAATTATGTCCACACACAAAGTTGCACAGTGTTCACAGACCATTACTAATAGTAGCTAAAAAGTGGAAATGACTCAACCATCCCAAATGTGGTATGTAATGGGGAATATTATTTACCCACAAAAAGAATGAAATACTGGCACATGCCACGATATGGGTGAATCTTGAAAATATGTTAAATGAGGGAAGCAGTCACCAAAGCCTCCATATTTATGATTCTTGTTAAAAGACAAAATTTAACTGATAAATGTGAAGATCTGAGTCATTATACTGAACAACTCATGCACTGGGCGGTATCACATCTGGCCGACAACACTAGGTACTGGCACTCCTCACATGGAAGACTTACACAGAAATCAGGGCAGGCTACAGAAGACATACGCAAGAGGAAAATGAACATTCACTAACAGAAAGTAAGCGTTAGGTGATGACTTACATGAACTGAACTGTGATGTTTTTATTGGCTGAGTATGTGCTAAGAACTTGAACTCTTGTTTGGGGAGTACAGGAAAAGTCTTCCAGCTTTTCTTACTGCTTGAGGTAAAGGCTGGCTTCCTGATTGGGATAACTGACAAGAAATGGTAGAACAAGAGGACTCCTTCTACATGTCTTCCCAACCTCCATTTTATTTAAGTTTCCTTTACAACATACCTCCAAAAACTGTAACTTCTGTTCCAGACTACCTCAATAAAGAGTTTACCACAAGAAAATAATTTTTTATCTCCAAGTATACATAGGTTTACACGTGCCAAGTGACAAATTAGAATAGATTAAAATATGGTGTATATACAGACAATGGACGTCTCTTCAACTATAAAAAGCAGTAAAATTTTTCCAACTGTCATAAGGATAGAACTAAAGTGGATAATACTAAACAAAATGAGTCAGAAGGAGGACAAATACCACATGTTTTCACTCACATGTAGGGAAAAAAATGCAAGAACAGACAAAAAGGAACAAAACCTTTGAAATCTGAGAGCAGAACTGAGACTACCAGAAGAAGAGAGGAGGTAGAGAAGGGCCCAATGTATCATGACATGACCCTATGCCCCTAAAACATATATAGTGTAATAAATCAAATTACTTCAACAGACACACTTTAAAAAATGAGAAAGAGCCCTCCCTGGTGGTGCAAGGGGTTAAGTCTCAACACTATCAAGTCATTGCCAGCCACTACATAAATAAATAAAATAAATCTTTTAAAAAATGAGAAAATATTCATACTGTTAGTGTGAAATAATATTATATCTAAATAAAAAACACATATACCTCAGTTAAAAGAAAAAAATGCCAGTCAGCAACTGAGCCTTCAGTTGGAAGGCTCAGTTGGAATCTTTGCTGCTGAAGTCTTGTAAAAAATGCATTATCTGTGAA